AGACATACTCTGCTCAAACACAGAGAGCAAACCGGAGAGCCCATTACCACTTACCCAGTGACAAAACTGGTTTTGAAAATATTTTTCTTGTGCACCTTTTGGTAAAGCTGCAGTTCAGCAACGTGCAAAACCCAGGTGCTGGTGGAGGTCATGTCATGTTCAGGAGGCATTATGAGAACATCAACCTGGGGAACAGCACAGTTAGCTGCTTGCTCAGGAGATGTCAGGTAGTTCTGCTACTCTGCACTGGCCCCTTGATTTTAGCTTCTTCATCTGCACTTTATTTTTTAGCTCTAACCTCCTTATTGCCCAACATCATCACCCCAAAAGGCAAGGTCCCTCTCAGCCTCCTTGTTATGATCCTTCCCTCTCATACTACTAACTGCTCCAGCACACAACAAGCAGCCACAATTTCATGCCTTTGGCAATTCAACACTGGCTTCTCAAAGCCAAGCTTTCACAGTGCTAAGCCAGAACAATGTTGAAGATTTTGATACCTAAATTCTGTCTCCATGTAAAACTGGAAGCTTGTCTTGGCAGGAAACTCCTGTCGTGCTGCAACTCCTTTTATTTCTTCTTCTTTTCTTTTTTCCTAACTTCCAAGCTTCCAACCTGTGTGAAGTGCTGCTTCTGGGCATGGCCAGAAAGCTCCAATTTCACTGTCGGAGCAGCTCAGACAGAAGTTTGGTGGAGGGCAAAAAGAAGACTTTTTTTTTTGCCAAGTGCCCCAAGGCAGAGGGGCTAGTCCAGGCAGGAGATGAAAGCTTGTTTGATACTTAATAAACTGGCAAGTCATGAACTCAGTAAACCAGTGCAGATATGAGATAATAAGAGGATAAAGGTACTTCATCAGTTGTTTATATATATATACATTTTATGTAAACTCCTGGCTGGTGGGAACCACTGTATGTGTGTTATCCCTAGTAATAATACTTATCATACTGCTCAGGAGAAACCAGAGTGCTGGCCCAGAGGGCCAGACAAGGCTGATAAACTCTGGGCTCACGGACAGGCAGACCAGAAACAAACTCTGGAGTAGCAAGCTGTGGGCAACCAGTGACCTCTAGAAGGGACAGGTGTAGGACAGGCCAACAGCATGTATTGCTTTTCCTGTTATTCATCTCTCTATGTGCTGGAAAAAAGGAATCATCCTCCTCCAGGAGAGGAAGATTACAAGCACCAGTGTGACTTTCTGACCTGCTTCCATGTAGCAGGTTTAAACAAAAGCTGTCTGTTCCCAGCAGGATGGCCTCGCAAGAGTGCAGCCCTGTATATCTGAAAGGTAATCCAAAGGTGTGGTGCCTGCACCTGCACTCCAGTCTGAACACTGAAACAGTCTGAACAGGAGAGTGGCCTAAAAGCACCCTACAGCTTTGTGGTGAGGACTCTCCTGCCACCTGGGTGTAAATATTCACTGACAGAAAGAACAGGATGTGAGCCCACTCTGGTACCCACCTCTTCCCATCTTGTACAACCAGCAGCACCTCATGGTTGCCATCCCTATGCCAAGTTGATTAGTAGGGCCCAAAGATACCTAGCCCCAGCTTTCCTTGGCTTTCAGATGACAGTCTAAAAGCAGATCTGTATTTTTGCCCCAGCTGAAGGGATGGCCAGCGCACAGCCTCTCACCGTCAGCAGCAGTGTTTTGCCTCATCCTGTCTCTAAGAACAGTGGAGCTCTGAGCAATTTTAAGTTAAACAGGGCAGAACATGTGGAAACTTGATGCTGTGTTCCACAGCATCTGGGTCAGGTTTAGTGCATCCACCTGCAGCTTTAGTAGCAGAAGAAAATCCCAGATAAAACCCCATGAAATGTGCACAGCAGGCAAGCAGAAGAGAGACTTTTCTATCACTACAGGCAGGTCTGCCCTTTAAGTATCAACACTGACAGAAACTGTTAATACCTGCCAGCATTTCTCATAAGCTTTCTACTAACTTTTGTACCTGCTTTCTTGTATTCTGCTCTTTTTTTTTCTAGTAAGTTCTTAGTCCTCTTCCTTGGAGCATCACCCAACAGCCAGCTCCTCCCAGTCTTTCATCAGAGCTTACCATTATCCAAGTGTCCTGCTATCCCCTCTATACCTGTAAAAGACTGATCTGAAATGAGACTCCACTGTCCATTGTCCCAAAGATCGGTATGAGAAGCTAAGATGGAATTTCACCAATCCATTGTCTCGAAGGATTGGTGTGAGGAATTGAAATGGGGCTTGTTTGTGTCTTTATTTCACACTGGGATCACGAATGAAATAGGGTCCAGCACTGGGGTTTTCTCCTGTCAGACTCTGACAATACCCACAGTTCCCAAAGTCTTTCAGGAGCAAAGAACCCATTCCTTCGTAGTTTACACAATGCAAAACACAACTATTTCAGAGCAACAAAGTGTGCAAGCTGTCACCTAGCCTGCAGTGCTTTCATCCAGGACTGTGGTTCTCAAGCTTTTCAAAACTACCCTTCCTCTTTTAAAAATGTTTAATATCCCCTTCTCGTCTTCCCAGTTTCTACCCAACAAAAACACTATTCACTCTCTAACTTATCTCAGGCCCCCAGAGCAAAAACATAAGGATTTTGTTGCTGTTGCTGTTCAGTATGAAACAGTTTGCACCACCTATTTTCTTTCTTCCAATATTTAGATTTTGATTTTCAGTAAAACTGAACCCAAAACTCTACTTCTGTTGGCTCGAAGTGTATGCTACACTCATCTTGGAGCTGAAGAGGATGGAAGACCTTTGGGTGGGATAGTCAGAGATAAGCACATCAAAACACAAAGGCAAGGCAACAGTTTTTCGGTGGCTTCTGCCTCTCATCCTGCAGTTACAGGACGTATTCTGACACTCCTTAGAAAGTCACTGCTCTAGTAGAGGAAGGACAAAAATGAACAAGACAACAATGTGATTCTCAAAGCTGTCACACCATCCCAATTGCAAACATAGTTTATTTCTAAAACAGCTAGAATCCCATATTTGACAAAGCTGCAGACAGATGGAGCTTTCAGAGAAAGATTGACACTGAAGGAAACTTAAAACACTTTTGCTGGCAGAGCTACAGTAGTGAGGTGCCAAAGTCCATGCCAGATGGAGCTGCCATTCAAAGACCCCCTGCAGAGCTGGTGATACCAGCAAAACCTGTGCATTTCTTGGTAGGCTTGTTTCACAAGGAGGCTTTGCAAGGAAGCAAGGAAGTTTTGGCAGCAGAGATGTCAGTTTTCCAGCCCGAAAGCATTCCACATTAAGACCATCTGTTGCGTCTGTGGACCCAGCCTTGTCTGTTGTAACAGCTAAAGCTGCAGGCATACCTTAGGCCTATCCATAGGCACAAACCCTAAAAGGGAACTTATCTTGATTCAGTATAAACAAGTGCACTTGCAGCAAAACATATTCTTTGAACTATGATCTCTGTGATCGTCCAAAGATTCTTTGGTTATCAGACAGCATGAAATTCCCCCTAATTTTTTTTTCCCCACTTGGTGACAAGTGCCAAAGTGATGTGGGAGGCTGAAAAAGAGATGCTAGTGTAGTGACAGGAGAGGGGGCATGATTCCAGACTGTTCTTTGCAAGCTCAGTCTCCAGCTGCAGTCCTTAGCAGGCACTTCTCCACACTGCCACAGCAGCTCTGAGGTCTCAGCTGCATTCACGCTGTGTGTAGAAAAACACTGGTTTCCCAAGGATTGCTAAGGGGCTTTAAAGCTTGTAGGAAGATGCCTACTGTCTATCTGAGGTGATATCTCAAGAGGTGAAAGAGAAACAGAGCCCTTTTCTCTGGGGGAATAGAGGAGGTCCTACCCTTAAATATCTACCATGTCAGTTCAAATTAAAGCCAGAGCACTGGTTTCTAAAAACTTTAGTTAAGTCAAGTCAGTCTTGGCAGGAGAACTGGTGCTCAAGCACCCCTGTTGCAAAAAAATACATCTAGAGATACATGTGTGTGTACCTTCTGCAGCTATTGTCACTCAAAGTACTCAAAGTCCTTGGTCATGTACATCCTTCGGACCAGTCTTGTGCTAGCAGGGCAAGGAAGCCTGAACTATCACTGACTGCTGACAGTGCTTCCCTTTTTCCTATAATTTCCAGGTCACCAGAGATGGACTGCAGAAGGAGAGAAAGACAAAGGTGCCAAGAAGGCATTATCTCAGCCTTGAAGTTACATAGAACTTCAAGGCAATACCAGGTTGGACCAAACTGTTCTACCTGTCCAGGCTCTGGGCAGTCTCCAAAAGCACGGATCCCAGTAGAGGCAGAGGAAGGGACAAACCACATGTAAGAGAGAGAAAGAAGCACATTGCTCCACTCACAATGGGCTGTTCATAAACACTGTTAGACGCCAAAGAGAATAATTTATAGGAGATGCACAGGTATTTTCTACAGAACAGGTCTTTCAAATACCCATTTACAAAAGCGTATTTGTGAAAATGAAAAAAAAGATCCCACAAAACATTAAACACATATTCCTGGATATGTATTTTTCTGTATTTTGCAGAGGGAAGTTTGTAAGAATAATCTTTGATTGTTAATAAGCTGTAAAACTTCATGGGGAAAAAACTGATTTCATCATGTCTTACTGGGGTTAGGAGGGACTGTTCACAGTGATGTATTCAAGTTGCAGTTCATAATTTCTGATGCTGGCTGATGTTAGAAAAAGTCCAGAGTTTTCATACAAAGAGGTAACAAAGACTTGGGTCAGCTTATCCAGGCACAGATCAGTTTGTAACAGTTCCTTTGTTAAACAAATCATCCTTGGAAGTTAAGAATCAGGTAGGAATTTGCAGGATTTCCCTTCTATAAACAGATGGAGGAAATCACAAGCATTTTTTCCATCCCTCTGAAAGGAGAACCAAATGACCCTCCAGATGAGTTTTAAATGCACTTATTGCAAATATCTGGAAGTGACCACAGCCCAGCTTGTGAGGCAGAAATTGTCTTTCTATGTAAAGCTCATAAAAAGCCGGTTTCTCCATTATAAACTTCTTTGGGGGGGGGTGTGGGGGGGGGTGTGGGGTGTGTGTGTGAAGCAGAGAGAGCAAAAAGACGTTGGTTCACAACATTCTTTTGCATAGATATTCAGGTAGGTCTTCAAAAGCTACTGGCTGTCCAGGCTAGTAACAAAATACCTATGCTCTTTCCTCAGTAGTGGCCGCTCCTCTTTGGTATCCGGTTTCGTAAGGCAGACATCTCACAGTGATGAAGAAGTCATACAGATGCATCTTTGAAAAGGAAGGCAGTGTCATTTGTGTTGCCACAAAAAAATTAATCTACTTGATTAAAGAACACACAGGAAACCTTTTGGTAGGGGGTGGGAGAGGGAGAAGAGGAAGCACTGATACATTCACCACTTGCTAGAAGCAAGTTATTTTGCCCTTGTAATTAGTTAACAGCTGTTGGTAGTTGTGGTAATATCTCTGTGTTGACAGAAAATATGGAATTACTACTTTATGAGTAATTTTGAGTTACAAGCAACAGGACGTTAATAAATCCTTCCAGGCAGATACAGCCCTGTGTCAGAAAGTATAAATACTCATTTGGGAAGCATTCCTGCAGTTACAAAGTATGATACTTACTGGTTGACTGCGTGATGCACGAAACCTTGTAGGAAGACCATATGCTTAAAACACAAAGGATGGTAGCTAGGAACCCGAAAGTCTGGAGGTGAAAACAAACAAACCACAAATACATTAGATGACACATATTCCATGAATGTATGGACACTCCTCTATATCCAGCTATGTATTTTACGATGTTAACTGTCTCAAAAATGTGATTTTTTTTTTTACTCTATTCTGCCAATATAATAAAAAAATAAGCGTTTCTGTACTGTAATAAGCAGTTACGTCTTATCAAAACAACAACAGAAAGAGAGATGGAGGGTCTTATACCAGGGGGGAGAAAAAGCTGGGCAGCAGCATAGTCTCTCCTTGTAGACTTCTGGGTTCTGCAATAAAGAAAAGACTTTTTCTCACATCTTTGATTATAGTTCTTTTACTGCCCCATTCAAACGAGTCTTTCCCTGACATCTGCCAAGTAAACAAGTCAGGTAAAACAAGTCTTCGTCTGTTTACATCATCAAGACTAAGTTTCTGAAAGCAATTATTTATTCTGGAGGAGTTGTATTTCAGGTCCTGCTGCTGTGAAAATGCTGCTGTGAAAATACTGCTGCCCACACTCAGAAGTCATTCCTCTCTCTCTAAAGCCAACAGAGGCAGAGAGTATCTTTCAGTAAGTCAGCCCAGAAACTCAGTGGCTTTTAGCTCAGGAGAAATGATCTTGAACAAGGCTCTGTTCAAGAGCAGGAGGTGTCAGAAGCTGAAGACTGGGGTGAAATCTTTTCAGTCACTTCTAGCTGCTGCAACAGCCATTTGTCAAAACTGAATTGTTTCAATTCTTCCCTAAACACATTAGTTCCTATGAGTTAAAGTAGAGGGCTTTTGGTTTCAACTCTCTGACAGGAAAAACACCCACTTTAGTGGTGAGTCTGGAGTCTCACAACAAAATGTTTTTGTTGGCATTGAGCTACAGAGCATTCACTGAAATGAACTAGCAGGTAGTTTACCCAACCAAGACACAAGCAAAGCAAGTTTGTAAGAAAATTATATTACAAGTAATAGATTTCCGATGTCCTACATAATATATATGGCAACCAAAAAAGTGTCAGTCTTACCGCTCCAGCCACAAGTCCAGTCAAATTGTAACTCTTGGATGCTGCTACAATCGATGCAATGAGAAGCAGAATTGTACCGATTAGATAATGAAGAAACTCCTGTAAAGACAAGCACAGCCTGCATCAGAAGGGAAGCTGATTACGAAAGCATTTTGATATGCCTCAGAATGAAAACAAGTTGGCAGAGGTTACTCAAACCCAGAGGACAAAACATCAGTCAAAAGAAGAAAAAGAGGGAAAAGGAGTGAGAGAGGGAGTGGAGAGAGACACATACCTTGTGAGTGGATTTTGTACCATACTGAACTTCTGTTCAAAAAAAGATCAATCTTCAGGTCTACTAATGTCACTGGAATAAGATCTGCTTACTGGTATGGATGCAATCCTTTCAATTCAACATGGTACATTACTGAGGGTGAAGCATCAAGTACACACCTTGAGTCAGCTCTGGAGGAAGGCAGAAGCCTTAACGGCATATTTCTCTAGCCTATATGAAATGGCAATAAATAGCTAAAGTGGAAAACCAAATGCTCCTACTTCTGATAACCTTAGAAAGTAAGCAGCGGATCTACTGCTGGATTTACTAGCAGCTTACATCAACCAAGACTGGAAGCAGAAGGGAGGTCATGAGAAGCACAACACAGACACAGACACTCATAACCAACACCCAGGCTCCTAAGTCTGCAAGGGCAGCTGCAGTAAAACATGATGCCATGGGCTTTCCTGAGAGACCACTGAGGCACCACGTGTAAGCTCCTCTCCAGTGTGACAAGTATCAGTCCAGGAGTCAATTTCACCTTGTTATAAGCAAGAGTTATCTATGTATTTAGATTATGAATCCTCAAAGGTTATGGCAACCAATATGGGTGTTTGCAAACTGAACATGGGTTGCTTCTTTTGCATGCTGGGGTGAGCAGGAGTGCTTCCTTTATCTGCATTGCACCACCAGCATGAGCCAAGCAAATGCCGTGTATAAGGGAGAGGAGAGATTCTGTCCCTAAACAAATGAGAGAGAAAACAGTTTCAAAAGGAAACTATCCAAGGAAATCCCAGTGTGTCATACCATAACACGATTTCCCTCTGCTCAGGTGTTTATAAATAACTGAGGAGGATCTTTGCCATAAATTAGGCTCTGAGACTGCAACTTAATTTCCTCATTTGTGACTTTGTTTCAGGTAAGTAAGAGCTCAAATCTTGCTTTTGCTAGAATAAATTATTTTTGTAAGGAGGCTTCTCCACCAGGTAGCAGGCAATTTAAGCATGTCATTGCCTCCTTAGAGACACCAAATAACAGAGTGTACAGTGTACACAGGCCATTATTTTAAAGGAATCCAAGGGATGGGCAAAGGTGCAAAAGAACCCTCAAAGGCAAAATTAGGTGGAGAGCCAGCCCCTGGCATGATCGGGAGAGTGCCCCTCTGGAGAAATACTTCCCAGTTTTAAAAGCTGTCAGTGATGAACAACCTTTTGAACAACTGCAACTTTAACTACTGCAGATAACACTCCTGACTGCAATGTGGAGACCCCATCAGGAAACTCGGCCAAACACTAGCTGTAATTTCCCAGAGGCTCTTGCAGGTCTTCCTATCCTGTTCTAAAGATACTTATATATGTGACTGAAAGGGGGTTTGGTTGTAAAAGAAAAGCAGTGCTCAAGCATCACATTCCATAAAGCTATCTGAAGCTGAGTAGCCCAAAATTGCAAAGCCTTAAACTCACTAGTGACTCTGGAACATTTAGGAATGATTAAACACACAACAAGAAACAAAAGCAGCCTTTGCATAGCCCTGTAACAGCAATGCACACATTAAATGCTGCTTTCCAAAGCTGTCATTCATTGCTGATTTCAATCCCTGCATCTGTATTATCTCTAAATAAAGAAGTACTTTCTAGAGACAGATAGTGGTGGTACACATTTAAGAAAATAAGAAGGGGTGCAAGTATAACCATATTCTTTGGCTAAAAAGAAAAAGAAAATTAATATTTCCCTCTGGGTAGCAGTAGATGGACGGACAAACAGTTCTCTTAGATTTGTAAACAGCTTACACAGCTTCCATTAAACGCCATACAACCACTTCCTGGATTTCAAAACCCCTCTATATCTCTCTAGTTGGCTTTCCCCATCCCTTTGGTCCTCCCTCTGTGGAACTGACATGTTATTATGCACATAAGGGAGACGTATTCTACAGGGTTATTAAAATCTGTTATCCCACACTAGGACACAGGAATCTTTTCTGTTAGCTGATCTGACCCGAGCTACTGAGGAAGTTCAGGTCTCACATTTTCTGTGCTGCTTGTTAGTTCTCTGCTAAGATATGAGAGATGGATGTGCAGGGGAAATGTGGGAACAAGGTAGGAATATCCTGCAGGATAGCCCAGGAATACCCAGGCTATGGAAATCAGGCTGAGGTTCTTATTTCTTGCTATTGCTTAGGTTACCTAAAACCATATCAAAAAGAGACACACTTGACTTACATAGCACTCACAGACTTTATTTTGGGAATTCTAATGCTATGATTTAGTTGACTCTACCAATCTCTTAGCTACTATAAATAATCTGGGACCCATCTGCTGAAGGCTTGATAATCAGTAGCTTCTTTTCAATTGTCTCAGAATAACACTATTGCCTTTCCTGGAGTAAGTCTGTATTGATATCTGTGTAAAGGAGGGCAGGATCAGATCCAAATCAGCTTAAAAAAATAACAATTGCAGCATGTGCTCAACTGAATATTAATAACAAAAGCAACAAAAGGTTTTGCATCAAAGATGAAAAAGAATGATGTGTTATAGCACAAGAAAATGGACTAAGTAATCAAGCCATCAACCCAGAGAGGCAAGGAACCCAGACTATCTTAAGTGGCTTACTGCAAGTGGCCAGCTAACGCAAGTGAGCTTCCTGTAGATTCTGAAGATATGGATAACGTAGAAGAACAAAATCATAACCAAGTCACACATGGTCACAATCTGAAAGTAGCTGTACACGCTGTAATCTGTCCATGGAGAATTATTCACACTGATAAATCCAACCACCAGTGAGATCTGAAAGACAAAAGGCACATTAAAGATTTTTACAATGGTGCCTCAGAGGGCCATGAAGATGATTTTAAATGCAATAAAATGCCACTTAGAAAGAGAGGACAAATATCTAATGTAAATTGGCAGGTCTCAACAAAATGGAGGACAAAGTAATGAGCATGGTAATAATGTTTTAAAAACTGCTGTTAAAATGAGCTATAACAACCAGGAAGAGTGGGGAAAGCGCCAACTGCTAGAAGGAAAGCAGCAGTTTCAGTCTGAAGAATACAACCTGAAGAAGTCTCGGAGAAGCAGCATTGAATGCCTGCAGTTGTACCAATGGCTGAAGCATCTAAACCTCACTTTCAGAAGGAAATCACTGAAAGCTGTGAAAATGAAAGTGCCCCTGGCCACAGGCACCTTTACTGCCAGTTGGTGAGATTATTCACATGCAAATTCAGAGGACTTGAATGCAACTAAATTAACAGTTTTACCCTTCCTTTTCTACCACCTACTGAGAAGGAGAATAAGCAGACTATAAAGTAATATGAGGGCAAATAACATAAACATTTGGAGGAACTGATTAATTCATCCCCTCCCCCCCCCCCCCATACAATAGCTATAAAGTTTTGATACTTTAGCACTGTCACAAAAAAACATACAGCATTATTGTGTATCTATCTTCAGGCTTCAGGCTTGCAAAGCACAGAAGCTATTTTATTTCACTTTTTAATCTAAAGCTAGTTGTTTTACTGATCTTGCTGCTTTGCCAGCCTGGCTAGCTGGGGTGATAAAAATAAATTGACCCAGCATATACCCAAATATTTTCTTACTACAGACTCTGTCAGTGCTTTCAGCCACTGTAATTTTTAGTTCATCCAAAGCCATCCAGAAGCAGTAATGATTCACATTTTAACTGTTTCACTAAGACATTAAAAAACTGTCTGAGGAAGCCGGTACTTCAAGACTGTACCATCCTGTCCTGCACACTCATTTCAAACTCCTAACCAGTTACATCCATTATTGGAATAATTTCCTTAAGATTAAAAGGGAAAAAAAACCCAAACCCAACACCCAAAACAACATAGCCTAGATTTTCCCTGTTGTAATGTTAACTAAGTTTCACTTTCCCAGTTTTATGCAGACAGGCCAAACACATGCAACCTCAAGGGCAACCGAAAGCTCTATACACACGTAAAAATTTCGCAAGAGATAAGAAGATACAAGGTACCAAAGTAGTCGGTGGGAATCTGCTCAGCTACTAAGAACAGGGTAGAAAGATGAATCTGAACAAATGTGCTTTCCATTTCAGAGGTACTTTACAATTAATTCCAAAACCAATTAGTAAAGAACATCCCTTCCTTGACCTTATATGTGCTTCAACACACAAGTAGGGAGAAATCAGTGCACGGCAAGAGATGGTATGTCTTTCACAGATTTCCTTTCTTGGCATAAATTTCACAACATGAGATTGATGTTCAGTTTCTAAAGAGGGCTCTCTGATCAGAGGCACATAATGCTATTTCACAGGACCATATCAACAACTTTATTTAAGCTATATCATGTTTGCCACACTATATTGCCTGCATGGCTAGCAGGTACAGTCTGAGTTTAAAACTCATCTGTTGAAAAAGAACGCTAACAAATGTAGGAAATAGAGCCACATAATATTGTTTTCCTTTAAAAGTGACAATACCAAAGTTCCTTCACCAGATATTGGCTTATCACGATATACTGGGTGATGACTGTTGGATTTTTCCCCCTAGAATTCCCAGAATGCTCCCAGAGAACTTGAAAGATTAAATGATTAATATGTAACTGTCCAGGAGACAGTTCAACATGTATCTTAGAAGTCAATTTGTAGCACACACAGAGAGAAAGAGAAGAGAAATGAAAGGCAAATCACTAAAATCATCAAATATTATGAGTGTTCTTTATGTATCCATGCTCAGGGGAGCAAGTTAATGCATCTTGAAAATAAAAACTAGATGCACAGAAAAATCAGGGCACTGCCACTTCCATTTCAATACAGTATTTCACAGACTGTGAGAGCAGCAGACATGCATCCCACAGCCAGCAAGCCAGTCAGACCAGAAGTACAGGTCAAGGGATGGTCAGTCTCATTAGAATATTTGAATGTGCTCCACAAATATATCCAGGCTTCAGACCTGCATTACAAAAAGGGTGAGGGCCACATTGCAGGACACTACTATCTACGTGTTTTCTTATTTCTGAAAAGCAAAACAAGCATCAATCATCTCCAGGGAGGGATTTTTGATTTAAATGAAGTATTTACTCTGTGTCACAGAAATCAGTTGGTTTAAACTAATCCACTTCTTGACTTCCCATTGGACCAGATATTTGAAGCAAGGCATGAGTTGTGTTTAGGAATACTGAAACTATGGCACAGTGAAGACAATGTGAGCTAAAGGCAGTCAGCAATTGCCAGGAGGTACTCAAGACCTTACCAGATGGAACAGGCATCATAAAGGGAAGATGGTAAGAGCCTGCACTCTCTTCCCTATTTTGAGCTGGAGGCAAGGCAACCAAATCCTTTGCAACATGCCTGTGGAAAATGTTGGCTCTTGAATAGCACTGACATAAGTTCTCAAGCCTAAACTCCATTCTGTTTTGTAGTGAGCACAGCTCTATCAAAAACAAAACATAGTTTACTCTTTTTTATCATCTACAAACTGCTGAGGGTGCAAGACCATCCACCGTGTGCCAGTAAATACGGAAGAGCCTTGGCCAAGCCAGCAAGTTCAAAGCAGCTCCAAGGAAGGGGCAAGCAGATGTGCATGCCCACCAGTCAAGAGATTACAGATACAACTGTCCACACTAGTGCCCTGAGGGTAATGAAGGACCCATAACACAAGAAAGGACTTGCTTTGCTGTCTGTGTGCCCACAGGCCAGCTGGCACCACTGAGCATTTTCTGACCATGTGGTAGAAAGCTGTAGTTTGTCAGACAGCAGAACAATTTTATAACTCAGGAATCAATTTGTGCAAGTGCTTTGTATTATCTTTTTTTTTTCTACAGTCCTGCTCTAATGGATGCAATAAATAACACTCTGGCTTTATTGCCAATACTTAATTCTTTTGCAGTATTTGGAGAGAGCTAAATGTTTCTCAGACACAGCTACCTGCACAAACATAAATCCAGCATGATCTCCAATATTAACAAGAACCTACTCTAAAGGAAAGCCTAATGCTCTGAGCATTACAGACACATTTCCACAGACAAACAACGATACAACAAGGGAGTAATTGAATGTCACCGGCTCTTACATTCTGACCCCAGTTTTGTAACCATCTTACTGTTTGAACTCCAGTGAATCATGGATTTTGCTGCTTCAGCTCTCCCATTTGCCAAATGACAACTAATAAAGACTTCACATGCATTGCACAAAATTTTTTCACCTTCAAAACACTTCAGATATGTAAATACGGCAAAGATTTTGAGCACCGCTAACACGCATCTAGGTCAAGGTGACTGTTTTCCTTCATAGTGTGAACTGACACAGTAGGAAAAGGTTAATCTTTGAGGGCTGCTTTTTCATTGATTTGTTGCCGTGACACCACACAAAACAAACAACGAGAGCCCTGGCTTACCGTGAAAATGGGAATTGCTTTTTATTTCCTAATAACTGTCACTTATTTATTTACAAAAGGCTTTGTTACCATGTGTCATAAAACCCCCACAACGCACAAGATATTGCAATAATCTTTGATGTTAAGGATACTTTACAATTCATGCTCTTGACCATTCTTGACTGTTCTGTACCACACATCATCACTCACCCATATCCAGCTTTCTTTCACATCTCTATTAATGACTGCGAAGTAAGGGTGACCTTTTCCCACTGTGCCTGTACAACACTCCGTACAGTGGCGATGTACTGGGTGTAGCTGGGATAGACTTAACTGCCTTCACAGCTGCTTACATGTCACTGTGCTTTGCATTTGTGGTTAAAACACTGTTGATAACATGTCAATCTTTTGGCTGCTGCTGAGCGGCGCTTGCACAGCACCAGGGCTTGCTTTCTCCTCCCTCCCTCATCTCAAAGCAAGTAGGCTTGTAAGAGGGTGAGAAGCTGGGAAGAGACACAGCCAGGACAGCTGTCTCCAACTGACCAAAGGGATATTCCAGACTATATGATGATAAAAGCTCAAGAAAAGGGGAAATGTTCAAAGCTGCAACATTTGTCTTCCGAAGTGATCATTACACACACTGAGGTCCTGCTTTCCATGAAGTGGCAACACTTGCCTGCCATTGGGGAGAAGTGAATGAATTCCTCTTTTTGCCTTCCTGGCATGTGCAGCTTTTGTTTTCCTCACAAAATTGTCATTATCTCAATCCATGTGTCTTTTTTGCCTCCCTTCTATTTTCTCCCCAATCTTCAGGAGAAGGGAGGGAGTGAGAGGCTTGGTGTGTTTGGCTGCTGACTGGGGTTAACCCACTGTGGGTAGCTCATTCTTTGCCTGGGACTTCCAGCTGCTATGGTAGTACAAAGAACATTACAAATCTTCATTGCACAAAGGAACTGAACATGGTGTTTGCAAATCCCATGATCATATACTGAACTGACAGGCTTAAACTGCTGTCTGATTGTGTTAACTATTAACTATGGATAACCATTTTCTTTTCCTGTATAGAAAAAAGATGTGAAATGCCAGCTAAATAGCAGGGAGGGAAGATAAAGTTGATAAGAAGCAAAATAGCTTCGAGGTGCCCAGTTCTAGAGAAACACTGTAACTCTTACCTCAAAGATTCACCATAATACTGTGACACACACATCAGCATGTATAATCTACCCAGGGCTGCATTATCTTTTACTGAATCGTTTTATCATGCAGTGTAAAACCACATTCTTGCTTTTCTCAGAGTATTTTTTCTTTCTTGACTGCACTCACCTCTGCTACACTCCGATAAGCTGTATTGTGACTTTTTGTCTCCAGTTTCTCCTTTCTGCTCTTTATTCCCCTTTCCTCTCCTTTCCCTACATTACAGTCCAAATTCTGCTG